GTTCCTATCCTTTATATTTTGTAGCTTTCAAGCGACGCGATTTTAATTTCCACCTTATAATAATCAAGATAGTCGAAAAACTGAAATACATGCAAACAGACTCAGACCTCCAAAGGATTCCATCTTTATTTCAATATACCTGCATATGAGGTCAAAATTGATATGAAAGATAAGCTCTAATGGATTCCTTTCGACCGCTCTAATGTATATTGGTATGTAATATGTAATATACATCACTATAAAGCATGAAGTAAGCTTAAATCTATATTGTAATTATTGCCACGATTTTGTTGTGATTTGCGAAGAGTCAAAGAATAACGAATAAAATGCATGCGCCTTTTTTGTTACTTTGGATTTTATTACAATAGTACACTTACTACTTCACTCTAAGCATCAATTAATTAAGCCACAACCATAGTTCTTGCCACTTGCATCAGTGCATGGCACAAGTCAGCGTCAAGTTGCAGCATGGCAAAAAAGTTCCATTGGATATTATTGCTTTTTTGACTGCCAGTTAATGACTACTTGGGAAAGTGATGCATCAATAAAATATATTTGCACTGTAGATTAATATTCCTATGCATTTGAGCTATGATAGCTGTGTTGGAATGACCGCATCCTCTCTTTCTACTTCTTCTGCCACGATTGCAACTGTACAAAGGAGTTGTGAATATCTTGCAACAGTGGTCAGTGCATAAGTGACTGCACGCGGCGTTAATTTTATTGCTGCTGTGATTAGTTTGATAAAGTTGGTTAGAACAGGCGGCCAAATATGCTAACGGTGAATACATTATTACAGCGGTTGGCCTCGTGCAACAGTTATGTGACACCAAAGGCGTCGACGGCAACAATTCAATGGCTCTCGCAACACCGTCATTTTATCGCTGTTGATGCTATCATTGTAAGTATGTATGTATATAAGTAGGTAAGTTTGTTCTAGTGTGGCAAAGTTGGATAAAGTAAATGAAGTTCAATATGTTATTGCCCACTTTTCCTTTTACAGTTTTATTTATCTCTATACGGGATATTTGTATACAATGTGTGCGCTTTGAGTTATGATGTTGTTCAGCTATTTTTGCCCCGCGTCCGTGCTACCGACTAGAACACAATTTATGGCGAGGCTGATTTGTGGCGAGTAATAGCTGGAGGGTCTTTTCCATCGATGCGTTGTGGCGCAACAATTTAATTGTATACAATATTTCATTCGTAACTTACGACTTAATCAAATTCATACCGACAAATTGTGGCGCGTCGTTAATGGGCCAATTGCGTACTTTATTGATTAGGAATTCAAGTAAAGTGTGACAAGTTACATCATAATTATTTTAAAAGCAAACAAGTCGCAAAAATAAGGTGGAGTGGAGAGTATCAACGTATGATTTTACCACCTCATATATGTATGTATTTTAGAAGATTAGGTGCCATGGAAATGAGCAGAATAGCCAGAATTCGCAAACATCAGTTTCGTTCTGTTATAAGAACTTAGCTAAGCTTTTAAAATTACATTATGGATATAAATTTGTGTTTTAAGCTTATACTTGGAGATACTTTCTTAGAGGTGTCTAAGAATCTATTTTTCAGAGTGCTAAGCTAAAAAAATAGATTCGTTTTTTTACCCACCCTAATATGTACACAAATATGTGTATAGTATATGCAAAAATAAAATATTTATTCCCGGGTGGGGTACATATGCTCACACCCGTCTACAAACTCATAGTGTTCATTAACACAATGGCACAAGGGCACAAGAAAACAGGCATTTGATTACTAATCGGGTAATCGAATGAGTTATTACCGTGTCTCTGCCAGGTTGTTGCATTATAAATCAAGGGGTAATTATGAATTTTACATGCGCATTGATGGCACAACGTGCACACTTCCACAGCAATTGAAGCAGTAGTGAAATTTTTGAGTAAAGCAGAAAATATTAGCAACAGCAAAATGCAGTTGTGTAATGCATACTAGACCGTTCAACATATGCTGCATATGCTGTGTCCGAGTAATCATTATGAGCGCTATTGCAAAAGGCAGAAATCAAAAATAATTGTGACGTGGTTACACCAATTTATTTACTTTTACGCGTTTATCAATTGTGCAACTTGAACCATTTGGTACGCCGCTGCACTTTCTAGTACTCTGCCACATGTATCTTTCACCACGGCCTACCGGATTCAATAATAAGGAAAAAATACGGCGTTAAAACTGTTGTTGTTTCTGACACCTTGCCTGGGATGGTATAAGAGGATTTTATAGGAACAACGTTCAAAACTAGATAGTGGGCGTGGCACCGCCCACTTTTAGGGGAAACCCCATATCTTGGGATCTGCTTAACCGATTTCAACCAAATTTGGTAAATAATATTCTTCTCATATTTCTATGTTATAGTATAAAAATGGGCGAATTCGGATTACAACCACGCCTATTTCCCATATAACACCATTTTTATTTCCATCTGATTTTTTCACTTTTCACTATGCAAATCAAGCAACAATGATTATATTTAAAACTTTAAGTTAATAATACGTTTAAAGTTCGCCACCTTGTGACCACAAATTATCTAAATTGAACCAAAACTGTTCAAGCCCCTAGGTACTGAACGTGTGGACCTCAGTGCCTATAATTGACTTTTGACCGAAATTATCGGTCAACATAGAACAAGGAGCATCCACAAAGAAATCTAAAACGAGTATAACATTTGACTTTGCGAAAGTATAAAATGTACGGTTACATCCGAACTTAGCCCTTCCTTACTTGTTTAATATTATATAAAGTTTTCCAAAAACCTGAAGGAAGTTTCCCTGTTTTGATCCTTGCAAGTTGCAAGAGTATAAAATGTTCGGTTACACCCGAACTTAGCCCTTCCTTACTTGTTTTTGCTTGTTACGTTCAATATGCGAAGCTCCGACGAGGTGAAGATTGAAAAAGTTTCTTTTTATTGTAAACATAAATTTTCAATTCATAATTCACTTTGTTATTAAAAATTCACTGGTTCAAAGTTATTTTCATACGAAGTTCGTGTTTCTAAATATTTTCATAAGGAAATGAAGTTAAAGAAAGGAAGTTAACTGGAAGTTTGAATTCCAATATTATGTATATGGGAGCTATGAGAAATATTGACCCGGTTTTACCCATTTTTAACACAACGGCACATCGTTATCAGGAAAAGATGTTCTTTGCATTTTAGTAATTTATTTCGTATAGTAACCGTTATTTTCGTGAAAAAGTCCGCCATAAGCACTCGAGTCCATATATTCGATATCAGGAAGCTTGAAAATGTATGGTCCGATTTTGACTATTTATTTCATTTTTTGTACAAGTGCGTTCCAAGGTAAACAGTAAAAAAGTAACAAAGTAAACTCTAGTGGCGCCATCTATATGTCGACTAGTGCGTTAGAATCTGCTATCCTTTATCGACTTCCAGTAAAAATTTCATGGCATTTCATCTATTGGAAGTGAAGTTATTCTGTTTTAAGTGTCAGTATGTTTTTGTCATCGGTGCGAAAATGAGCTTCGAACAAAGAGCCAACATTAAATTTTGTTTTAAAATTGGTAAAACTTTTACCGAAACGTTTCAAGTGATGAAACAAGTTTATGGCGATGATTGCCTATCCCGTAGCAGAGTGCACGAGTGGTTTCAACGTTTTCAAAGTGGTCGTGAGGACATAAATGAGAAATAAGCTGAAACCCAAAAAATCGCGCCTGGAGAAGTCAAAAGTGAAGACAATGCTGATTTATTTTTATGATTCCAAGGGTATTGTCCACAAAGAATTTGTTCCACCTAGCCAAAACGTTAATGCGGTATTCTAGCTTGGAGTTTTGAAGCGTTTGGTACGGAAAAATGCATTTGCCGATGAAAGGAAAGCGTTATGCAGACGTGGAGGCCATTCAAAAGGCTTGCACCGGCATACTGGCGACCATACCGGGCAATGAGCTAAAACACTCGTTCGACATGCTTTTGGACCGTGCAAAAAGCTGTATTAAAACAGAAGTAGACTATTTTGAATAAAATTAATTGATTTTGCCGATAAAACCATTTGTTCTGTCTTTTTTTCAAAAGTCCTGTTTACTTTGGAACGCACCTTGTAGGTATGTGAGATAGCTTAAATACACTAACTTTGCAAAGTTTTGTTATAATATTTTGGTTTGTTCATGAATTATGTTCTGTAAAGTGATAGAATCAAATGGAATTTAAAATTGTGTTATACATATATAAAGTAGGCGTAGTGACAATTCGATTTCGGTAATTTTCATATTTAAATATCTTTAATGGCTATGCAAATTTGGTCCAGGTACAAATGGACTAGATGTAAGACCAGTGCAACAACTACAACGGTAACTATTTAACATCACTCTGTAAAGCATTGCTTTAACTGTGTAAGTAATATTTCTTAAAACACATTTATGAAATTGCCAGTATGTCTGTAGAAAACAAACAAACTACCATGAGCCTCTTAACTACGAAGCAAGTCACATTGACGAAGCTTCGAAGAAAGCTTTCTTTGCAATGTAATGTCGACGTTTGCTTTGAACAGCGTTTTGCGATGTTTCGATTCCATTTTGTATTTATATCGTGCGTAGCTCAATTGTCGTTGGTGCACATGCGCTTAGTAGTATTGCAAGCGATTGAAGCTACAAATGCTGCTAGCCGCCGGTGGCATGCTGACATCGAAATGCTATGATAGTTATGTACCTATGTATATACATACATACGTCTGAATCGGTAGCGTCTTATACGAGTGCTGCTCTGCTAGCCTGCTAGTTAATGTACAAGCTTCGATCTTCCTCACTGTCTTCGTACACACATGAGTATGTTTATACACATCTCGTTTAGCCATCATCTTCGTACCTGTTGCTATTGCTAAAGTTGGTAAGCGAGCTTGAGTACGTTCGTCTATGGGAAAAATTAAAAATCTAAGCTCGTCTACTGTGTGTGTTGACCAATGAAGAAGTTTCAGTCGGTCGTTTTCTTACAGAGGTTTCGTATTCATTCATTCAGAGTGGTGACGGCGACCTTGACGGACACGAAGCGCAAAATTTGTGCCCAGTTCGGAATATCGGCCGAGAAAAGTCTATTTCTAAAGGCTATGAAAAAGTGAGGGACTGAGAAGAATACTGAATAAAAACTACTCGAAGTTTGAACAAAGCAATCGATATAGAAAACTTTAAATAATTAAATGGTTGGTAAACGTTTGGTGTTGAAATAATGTGAAAAATGAGAAAGTGATTGATCATCAATGAAAACAATTTGAAATATGCAGGAATTAAAAAAAAGTAAAGTAAATCGAAGAAATAAAGTGATATGAGATGAGATTAAACAAAATTAAGTTACAAGCAAAAAATTTTTTGAGTGGAATAACTGGTTAAATTTAACTAAAATAATATAAAACATATTAACTACCATATAAAGAATTCTTGCGCGAATCGAGAAAGGTTTTTTGGTAGACAATGGAAAATCTTTCGCTCTCAATAATGAATCCGGAAACATCAATTTATGGATTTATGTTCAATATGCGGAATTTTAGTAATCGTAAATGTAGATTTTACATAGGCTTAATAAAGTTGATTCTTCTCTTTCCTATTCTGAAGTGTGTTTCTCTATCAAACTTTAATTAATAATTCTCAAAAAAACCTTAAGTTTGTGTGAGATATTTCAAAAACAATCTATGCTATTGGATATAAAAATGGCAAAACACAAAAAAAATTCGTATTCATCCTATGAGTATATTAAATGGTGTTATCGAATACAAATTTAGCAGATAGTTTCCAACCTTCTAACGGAATGAGAAACCTATATTAAATACAAAATGTTGGCCGATTTTTTTTATTTGCCCAAATTTACCGTAAATGTTTAGATGCAATTCACGAGGAAAAAATAGAATAGTGTTCGTGTGCCAAAGTGTTCACTTGCGCATGTTGCAGGCAAGCCTAGTATCCGCAAACAAATACAGCTCGATTATATACTTGTAGAAGCTCATTTGTCGGTAAATCAAAGAGCTATCAGTGCGCATAATCGGTGTTGGATCCCGCCAGTTCAGTTGCTTGCTTTCTTGGCTAACTGCTCTGAGGATATAGGCACGATGGCTAACCGTCTTCCATTCCATTCAAAGTGCTGGTGGCATGCATTACTATGCTCGCACCGAGTTTAAGTGAAAAGGGAATATATGCCTAAACAAACAGCCATCGAACAAATGGTGCTTGCCATATTTAGAAGGTGAAAATAAGACACTAAGAAAAATAAGAATCGAGGCGGCACTCTGTAAAATTGCACTAAACTTTCGATAAATAGCAAGGAGCATTCAAAGCTTAGCCGTAAAGCAATCTGTCCATGTATCTGTAAGTCATTCGGAGTTTATTGTGGAGGCGCACAGTGATCACCTGGTGGCTTTGACGTACCAATGCTGTTGTCGTTGCATTAAAGCTACAATAACAACAAGCAAATATATTTCAAAGAGCTCAACTTATCTAATACATTTTTGTGGAAATTTTCGTTAACTTCTGTTTATTCTTATTTCTCATACCACTCTTCGGTACTCTGAACCTTTCCTTTTCTATGCCTCGCAGATGCATTTTCGTCAATTGGGGCATTACTCTCTTTGATTGGCATTAAACAGATACATAAATGATATATCTTAAGTCCCTTGTAAAGTGGTGATTTGCAGGCTGCACTGGCAAAAATTCTTGAGAATCTAATGTAGAGTTTTGTTTTTCACATTTTATCCGTTCTTAAGGTCATGTGACTAGTTCTCCAGTTGCGATTTGAGTGTTAGCTTTCCGATGCTTTCGAATAAATTTAACTTTTTTTTATTTATTTGTACTCAAATAGTACCGTTTTATAGGATCAGCGTCTTAATAATACACATATGAGAAATATGTATATATGTACGAGCATATGGTTGTACATGCATATACATTTATGAGCTAATATCGCTGCGCTCACCGCACGATGCTCACAAAGCCAAATTGCATGTTGGCGTGTGAGAATGCAACAAAGCAATGAAATATTTACATGAATATATAAACAGATACGTGTAATAAATGATCCACTATAGCGCCAACCGACAACGCAGGCTATCCAAAAATTTACTAGTACGTTTTTATGTGTATCTATCTATTTGTTTTTTTTACACTGATTTTCACGATATCTTTCCTGTGCGAAAAATCCACATTTGATGGAGAAGAATTATGTTTGGCAAAGGGTAACTGCATTGTTTAAACCTGAAGTGCATGAATGGCAATGGGAATATGGATAATATGTTACAAACAGAAAACAGTTAAATAATTATAAATATTCACCTGCATTACTTCAATGTAACGGTGCATATATGATTTTCGAAAAAAATCCGATCAATGCATAAAACAGAAAATGAGTAATAATTAATTGTGTTTTAAAATATTGATTCTCTCAGTTATATCTATTTATTTTACTAGTAGAAATGTGAAATGTAAAATGTTGCCCTTAATAATTATAAATTTACTTTAGTTTCAAAATGTGAGTTTGGACCAGAAATCTATAAACATTATTATTTGTAAATAAAAACACTAACAATTTCCACATAAAATCTTTAACGGAACAAAAAACTAAACCTAAGCTTGATAAAATTACGTGTAAATCATCTGGAGCAAATAAGCAGACACTGGTAAGTTTAATATTTGTTTTTTTGTTTAAGAAATGCATTTTTAACTATTTCGTTTAGTTACTTTACAATATGTACACTTACCCCAGCTGAGTTTAAGATGCAAATCTTAGCCATTTTTCTTTCAAAGTGCATAAAATAATTGTGTTAAACAAACCAGCAAATGAACATGTATGAACACGTATACGTATTATATAAGATGAAGAAACTAATAAAATGAGATAATTAAGTTCGGCATTTCCCTTCCTTTGGTTTCAAGAACCGCCTTGTGTTAACAGCGTCTTTTATTTTAGTTAAGGCCTGACTATTAGAGCTTGTCTATGTAATTTGCTTCAACAACCACCTAAGCATATTTTAGTTTTCCAGTCTTTGCATTCGTCTCCAAGTCTTGGTGGTTGTCTGGCCCTTCCCAATAAACATTTTTAATTTTATAGTGAATAATTCTTTTATAAGATTATGGTTCTTATGGTGCGCTCAAAGAGTTTTTATTTTAGGAATTTTTTAGACAACAACAAAATTGTGCAAGTGGTTACCACGCCAATACTCTGTATTCATTTCATACATATACCTATATGAATGTAAAATTTTTCTTTCATTTTATCACTGATTTTCTCTTTAATGTTACTGTCATATACAGGTGCCATTCTATGAAGAATTCTAAATCACTTTATGCTTACACCTGCAGTTTTTTTCGAGCTGGAGATGCCCAAAATCTAAGAAGTTGGCGTTTAAAAAGGAAAAGTAGCTTATTATTGATATTATTTTCAATACCCGAATCCGGCACTTGTAAATTCATTTTGTTTTTGTGGTCAGTTGGGAATAGGTTCGATGTTGATCCATGAAATGGTGTCGTGAAAGTAAACATGCACTTCCTCCAGCCCCTGCTCAAATATTACAAGAATGCTGCAGTATATTTGAGAAAAATTGCAACTTGTGTTTGAAGCTACTTTTAACTAAATACAGAAAATTTCTATAGTATTTTCCACCGCCAAGTGAAATTAGAAATCGAATTTATAATTCTCTTAAACAACTTTCTTCGAATTTTCTTTACAGCATTTATCTTTTGTTATTGTTATTGTTAGCTTAGCACTTACATATTTGCATATACATCGTATATATACAAATAAATACATAAATAAGTATGTGGCAGTTGTACGTATGTGTTTTGGTGAGTGGACTTGACTAAGTTTGTTGGTCTGAAGCGTAGCACGGTCTAATAAATTTGATTCCAGTTTTGTAATCCACTTCTTCAAGCCTTAAATTGGGTTATCTAATTCGCTATTTTTGAGTTTATGTTCAATCTGTACAGTTATGGTAAATAGATAAGAAAATTGTGCGAATACTCATTGGTGTACGAACGATAGGCCCGAAAGTTGGGAGGTATTTATTCGATCGTCATAGAAACGTAACATTTTGTTTCCGAAAAAGAACATTAGAGACCCACAGAAAAGTATTTGTGGCTAGTTAGAATTAATGATTAGTGACAGCAAAAAAACTACAAATCGTTCGATCACGATGTATACTTAGTTGAAATATTCCACTTCAGCAGTATTTTGAAAAAGAAACGCATCAATTTAGTATTTCTCGGGGTTCAAATGATCTACATCTTTTGATTAATTTATTTGTATAACCAATTCAATAGGTAAATTATCAGGCCCCAAAGGAATTGTTAGCTTCAGTTAGTGAACGACGCAAGAGCGTGGACCATATAAGCTGAATTGAATTTTCCCCGTAGAAACGAGTCAGCTGCTTGCTCTTTTACAAGGCAGGGTTACCAGTCTTGATATTTTATACTAATTAAAAAATAAACTTGAATATGCTTAGAATATTCTTAAAATAACTGAAAATTACAGTCGAATACAAATATTTATAAATAGGTAGACTATTTGATATTTTACATTAAGAAAAATTATAACAGAAAAGCTAAATGTGTGCAAAACTATCTATACGTATAAATTGAGCAATGGCAACACGGCTCAAATGAAAACAAAAGAGAACAACTGATTTCTAAGTTGTCACTACTTTTATTTTCAATCTGCTGCTAATTGGTTATCTTAATTGAAATTAATAGCCGTCTGAGTGGCGCACACTCTGTGATAAGGAACTGTGTACATACATACATATCCCCACAAAATTTGGGATTTTAACCACATGCAAACGCATTATAGTTAAATTCTTTGATATTTCTGCATTCACCACGAAAGCTTTGAATATTTTAAGAGTAATTATGTATATACATATATATTCATACTTGACGTGAATACAAGTACAATTAGCGCTTTTTCCGACGCCTTATCAGACATGTGTGGTACAAACAAAAGAAAGCGATTGCGACAATCTTTTTCGACGCGGAAATGTGCTCATTAAGGTGGGTAACAAAAACTAATATTTTTTTTCACTTGCTACTCTGAAAAATACGACATCTCTACGAAAATATATCCAAGTATGAGCTCTTAATTGTAAGGTCCTCCGCCTTACAATTTTATATTTTTTTCTTATTATCATATCTCGGTTCGAAGTACTTGTAAAAGTATCTCTCACAATTTCGTATGAAATTTTCTGCTCTGCAAAAATGGTCATATATAATTTTTCGATTAAGCATATTTTTTTTTCATTGTAATATGATCTATCTGATAATAAGAAAAAAATTTAAAACTGTAAGGCGAAGGACCTTCCAGTTACAATTAAGAGCTACTTGAGATACTTGGAGATATAGTCAATGCGGATAATGATAATTTAAGTCGTAACCGAACTGTTTTAGAGTTACGTAATATTCCTTTGTTTATATAAGGGTATTTTCAGCAGAAGTTATGTTGGTCGAATTTGCCAACAATGAATGATTCTACTCTATTCAAATTATATTTTAAATGTGTGGTTGCCTTTGTGAGTCGTTGGTTGCAATTATCCCTCAGGGAACAAACACACGCACCTCCTGGCCACATATTTAACAACGGAGAAAATTCATTTGCAGATCTTGAGACTAAGGGGTAATATCTTAAGTACTTCATTCTGGCCAAGGGTGCTTAAGTGCCCGCAGACTATTTCTCGGCCAGACGAATTAACTCACAAATGATTCGCGTTAAACGAAAATTGCTACACTCTGAAGCCGCCTCTTGTAAGATACAAACTTTCAAAAGCAACAACGGGACCCATTCGAAGCGCACAATCGAAATCAGGGTCAAAATGCGCTGGCTGCCAATAGGCCACCGTTTTGGTGCCGATTAACATATTTATGCAGTAGTTCTAGTTTTTCTTTGCACCAGATAAACTATCAAAAGGCAAATAGCTCAACATTTTTGCTTAGACAGTTTCGTAATATTTTTCCTTCTTTTTAGGTTAATTTTTCTGAAAATAGGTTCATGTATTTATTTCTGGGTTATTCATTTTAAAACTTTGTTGTTGCACATTGTTTGTGTGGCAAGTTGAGTTTGTAATTGCACTTGTGTGTGAAAAAATGAACACTTGAAAGAAACAGTAAATATTTAACGTGAATGCGTTGCAGCCCAAATTGCCACACTTGCCGCATTTAACTGCACATTTAGTTGTTATTACCTGTCAACAGTTGTTTCCCACTGGCGATAGTTACAACGGTAAGAGCTTTTGTAGACCAAAAAGTACATACCATATGTACATATGTAAATAGATTTTGTAGTGTTTTGTAATTACTCTCCGCAAATTAACGTTTTTGTTTTTGACTTCTGTTATATACTATTTCCATTCTTGCAGCACATTGCTCGAAGCCCTGTTCTGGTTCCTGATGTCGTTGTTGTTGCGTGTTTGGTAGCGTCTGTCTTGTAATTTGAGCTTGATTGCCCAATTTCACACCAACAACCGTATCACTTGCCTCACCCATCAAGCTGCCTCAACCACTGACGCCTCAAGTGCTTTGGGTACATACATACGACCTTTAGAGTGGCAATTGTTTAATTACTTTACTGTTAGTTTCATACACTTTTTCAAGTAGAACAACCACATTGCAATAAATGTACAACAAATATTGCCAGTTGGTTAGCTTTAATATGTGTCTAGTATGCAAAATGCGAGTATATACCAATAAATATTATTTCGGAACATGCACCTGTATGTTCACATGGCGACTAAGACTAATATTTATAAAATAGAGATTGAGAGTCCGGCAATCGCTTTCCAAGGGTTGCCCAAATATATTTCCGTTGAAAAATCTTCCATCTTTAAAACATAGTCTGTGTGCGGTCCCATTAGACACACTTTAATATATGCTCAGACCCATTTACTCATTAATGGAGAATTATTTGAAAACATTCGGACAATTAATGCCAAATTAAAATTGATATCACTCGAGGAGCATGCATCTTTTCCTCAAATGGTCAACAAACTGTAGCGGCTGTGTGAGCACACATAATTGCTATTATTATTACGGTATTGTTTGTGTTGAATGCAACCGAATTTAATTCTGTTGTGGCCATGTTTGCGTGATACACATATAGCCGTACTCAGTTGCATCTGTAGGCAATTAAGCAAATGATTGAGGCCGGGCATCAACAGAGCGTCTCGGTGCAAAAAATCTGTAAATGGGTAAATGATACTCACCAGTTACAACTTTACTGGAGGGCAGTAAAATCGAAACGGGAACCAAATTTAAAACCACATATGAGTGTATGAAAATGTGTGTGCGAGCAAGCGCGGCAAATAAACATAAAAGGTACACATGAACAAGCTGCAGCAATAGCAACAAATAAAATGCTAACGCAAATCAGCGAATGCAATCACAATGCTTAAATATAATTAAAAAGTATTTCACAGTATACATATATGTGTACATACACACCTGCTAAACTTACCCTGTAATGTAGCCTAAAAACTACCAAATGACGTCTAGAATCTTCTGACTAAAATCGAACTACTCTGAATACGATCAGATATTTACCAATGTTTGGAACGTTATTGCACAAATTCGTTTGTTGAATCAGTACTTAATAAATAAAGATACAGAGAGTCTGAATAAAATCCTTACATAAATTGTT